CTCAGTGTGTCAAGTATACAATTGTATCTTTCTGTGGGTTGTCAGAGGTTGAGAAAGAGATAAATTAAAAATCATCTTTGCACGTCACTGTGTTCTTATGTAAAGCCATCTGTTATCTCATCTCTCTTCACTATGTCTCCTGCCACACAAGGCCTTTCCACATAAGGCGTTCTACAGAAATCACTAGAACTGAGTGTCTCATTCAAGTACACCTTGCCATGTAAGAATAAATTTTAAATCATTCCCTACTTTATGCAATGTCCAGAAATATTACTGTACTGTCAACATTAAAAATAGAAAATGTGTATTTTCAGTCATTTCCTCAATATTAATCACACAAAAGAGTATGTGAATAGAAGGCCAAAATAGAGACTACTCATATTTGGATCTCTAACATTTTATTTTGAATAAAGATTCCCCACTCTACATGTTCCTCTTAATTTGTTTAATTCTAATTACAAAAAAAAAACCCTGCCCTTTATGCTAACACCTTTATAATCTTCAATGGACCTTTGCTTTAGTTTTTATCTACTTCCATGAATGCTAAATTTTAAATAATTAAAACATTCTGTATGTGAAATAAAATCAGTGTCTTCAAAATGTTTACCCACATACATAGTTCACCTAATTGTGTCCCTTTTTGAAGGGCCCTCGGACGGTTTGCAAGCCAAAGGCATTAACAACTTGTCTGTCCTACAATGGTTACACCTAATTTGAATTAAACTACGGTCGCAGATGACAGAAGCGCTCCTTTCATCTTTTGTAGGAAGGTCACCCAGCCCAGATCGAGCGCCACGCTCCTTCTGGAACTAAACACGTTGGCCCCGCCGTCTGTTGAGTCCTCCCCTTCACAACTCACACCTGGGTGGCCAAGGGTCACGTCTGACCTCCCGACGGTGCCAGCGCCTCTGCCCCTTCCCTTTGGGGAAGCAACAGATGGCGAGGGCGCGCGGCGCTGGTGCCGCAGCTCCCCGCCACGCAGGGGCACTTAAACAAGAACTAGCTTGGCAACGCAGGGGGAAAGCAGAGGAGATTCCCGCATCTCTCCCCCCTTCCAGGGCTCCCAGACCGTACGCCAACATCCGGGGAGACCCCCAGACCCCTTCCCAGAACCCAGAACCTCCTGTTGCCACGGAGAGCGAAGTTTTAAGCCGCGAGAGAGGCACAAGGGACTCCAGGGCACTCACCCAAGCGGGGGCACCGACACTGAGCCCGGGGTTCTCCCCAAGCAGCACCTGGCCAGCCCAGACCTTCCGGAGAAGCTGGCCCGCCACCAATAGCAACCCGGGCTCCAAGGGATGAGCCAATGGGAACGCTCGAAGATAAAGAGGTGCAACCAATGCCCTCGTTCGGCTCTGGAACCCCAGCACCAGCACCCGCCCGGTCGACTGCCCCGAAGCGACGGTGCTGTTGCAACTAGGAGTAACGCTGCCCTTCACCTGTTTCCCTCCCTCTCGCCTGTAAACAGACTCACTAGTCTTGAGGAATTGCAGTTTTTGCTCCACTCTCTGCTCATGCACTCACCTCTCCATTCTTCTGCTTGAAGTCCTCACCAGCCAGTCAAGCATTTCAAAAAAGTGAAAGGAGATGAAGAATATTGTTCCGGTTCACTTAACCACTGTGAGCCATTTGAGCTGGTGTCTGAGCTTGACATGGAACGAGGACTTGATAAGGAGTCTGAAAAAGTTTCTCCTTTGCAGAAAATGTGAAAGGCCTTTATTTGCTGAAGTTGGTGCGAGTTTATTCCTGGCTAGAAGTAAAGGGAGAGAAAGGCTAGTACCCAGGGAAAAAATGTTAATACTTATAAAGGGGCATCGACCCTTATCTTGTTCGTTGATGTCACCAACAGTAAGTTGCTTGAGAACTCACTGTACCTCAGGCTAAGCAATTTACCCACGTTAACGCGCATGATCTTCACTACTAACCTATTATTTATTCCTATCTTAAGATGAGGAAATTGCGGCGAGAGAGAAGCTTGGTCAAGCTATTCAGTGGTGGAGGCAAGTCTAGAAACCCGTATCTATCTGATTCATTCAGGTTAGCAAAATATTTAACATTCAAATTAATTACACCCAGTCTAGTTTTTCATTTCCTAAGATTATGGATCCCCCTTGTTTTAAAACTCAGAAATCCTCAGTAACTTTAGTGTAACCATCAAAATCAGTCGTGTTTACTGGGTGTGGGAGTGGAGAGAAAGGAATTGGACACTTGAAGTAATTTGAGAAGCACTAATTCAACTGAGCCATTTAAAATAAGTAATGTTATTGTTACTGATTGCATAGCACTGATTTTATTTCACCACGAAAATAAAGAAATGCCTTCATTTTATATGCTAGTGTATATACCTATAGGCAAATATACGTGTTTGCTGAGGCAAAATACAGAGAATTACAAATAACCTGTGATTAAGAAGAGCCTGTTACATCTGTGTTCAATATTTATTTTTTATATCAGGGTTTGTAATATAACAGTAGATACCAATTTAAAGAGGGGGGAACAGATGGAGTGGTTATTGGTTTATTAAATATCAATTTGAAATTTATTTCCTTTGATCAAATATTATTTCTGTATGACTATTTTTCAGATAAAACAATAACTAACACAACTTAGTACTGAGCTAGTAAGTAGGAGAAAGAAACATGACTTAAAAGTCAGCTATAAAATCTGGGCAGCCTTTCTTACTTTTCCTGAGGACCTATGCAGTCTGATTTCAGAAAGGTTTTCCAATATTTCTCTATAGGGTGCTTTGGTTTCAAGTAAAATTGTTTCAGAGGGCAGGACCATGGCAGTAAGCTGGCATTGAGAAGCCCCTGGGCAGCCCTAGGCTGAATGTGCAGTTATTCTTGTTCACTTCTAATTTTGTGTAGCAGAGCCATCACTGACCCTAGTGAGCCAAGCCCACTGTCATCCTCTGTGAAGAAAAAAAACCTGTAGATAGCATAAGGATCTGACACAGAGTGAGTCCTCAATAAATGGTAGTGTCATGGTCACCATTTGTACCTGTTAACCCAAACATTTGTTGTTTCTCTAGTGGCTGACAAATTCTCAGCATAAATTTTGTCATAAAAGAAATCTGTTTGCTGTCATCACTCATACTAGTCGTATGCCCTTCCCTACCATAATTCCACGCCATGATTCCTGAAGTGATGGGTCAGGGGGGAAAAAAAAAATCCCTCCAGTCACCAAATGACAGAGACCATGTTCCCAACTGGGAGAAATCAGGCTGCTGCTATAGTCAGAAGTTCAAAAATAAAGTACATGTTTAACTGAATTAAATAATCAGAGTCATATCCAGGTACTTTATTGGCCTAGTAGAATCTTCCCTCCATCCTCTGAATCTTGCAGACGTAGATTCTTAGGATATTTGCCCTTAGCAGAAGGGTTGACTAATTCTCCACTCCTACAAAACTGCAGTAAAATCCTGGGGAAGGGGACTTAGAGAGAGGAAAGTGTGCTTTACAATTTTAACCCACTAAGATATATTACATACTCTTTGTCATAGCTTTCCACTAGCTACAATTTTTTTATACCCATCAATAAGTTCACTATTTCTAACTTTGTTGTTCTAACTGTGGGCCTCCCAGTGACCTTGTAGAGCTTGTTTTGTTTTCTGTAAAATGGGAAAAATATGACCGCAGAGATTGTTAAAGAGTACATGGAAAAAAGAAACCAACAGAGCAAATAGAACCACATCTCCAATAAAATAGATTCTCCTTTAGTATATACTTTGAAAGTCAAAGTGTATGCATCATAAAAGGCATGAGGCAAGCTTCCTTATTTTGCATCCCAAGGAAACTTTTGTCAAAATAGCATATAACAACCAATAGTGAATCTACAGTTCCCTCTGTTTTTGAGGAGGAATCTGTGTGTGTTTTAATTGAAGGTCATTTAATTTCTTTGCATAAAATGAAAACACTTAGCATGATTAACTATAGTTTCAAAAAGCAATCATTATACCCACTATCTTGAAATCTGTGAAATGCACATATTGTAAATGGTAGGTTTCCCTATTATGACACTGTTTAACATTTATTTCAGGAATAATCAAAGCAATCAAGAGTCCTATGATTTATTTATGAAAATCATGTTTAAGTTAGCCATTTCTTTAAATGACCCTGCTGAAATTACTAAGTGAACAAACTCTCCTTTGTAACTTTATTTTTATTAAAGATTGCACAAACTGGAACCAAGACCAAAATACTGAATTCACTGTACATCATTCATTTTAAAAAAACATACATTACATATGTTCTCTACCAAATAGGACATTTTCTTTAAAATTATATATTGCGTGCTCTTAGATTCATGCTTTAGATATTTTACATTTGTCATTATTCTCTTATAAATAATTGCAACTTGACCAATTTGTACACCTGCTACCACTATATATTCAATGCGGCAAAGCCATAGTCTTTGACCAGGTCGGATTAAATGGAAACAAGTGTATGGATAAATGTCACATCTACAGAATTGTGACTACTGTTTAGCCTACGCAGTGAAATGCTAACGTAAATCACACACACACACACAACATCGTTTCAAAAGGCACAATTTCCTCCACAGAAAATAAAAATTTAAAAATTCGTGGCAGTTTAAATCTACGCCCTCGAGGGCGCTGAGATGTTCCCATTAACATGATCCTAAACCTGGAGAGAAATCCTCCTGAGCGCTCGGCCAAGAGTGGCGCGGAGGTGCAGGCGTGGAGGATGTGCCTCTCCAGAGCCTTGCAGCGCATCCGGCCCGCCGCCCTCTGCCCAAGAGGGCAGATTTCTCAACGCCACCTCTAAACCTTTGCTCTGAGTTTCAGCAACGCACCTGGGATATCTCACAGTTCAAATTTGGGGCCCGATCTAAAAAATAAAAAAATAATAATAAAAAAAAAGTTTTGTCCACTGGTTCCCTCTTCTCACCACCAGGAGCGCCTCTTCTCCCAGAAAAGAACCCCTACTTCTCCCCATCCACGCCCCCCACCCACACACACCCCTTCCCGGGAGGACACGTTATGGGTCTTGTTCGCCTGCGCCCCCAGCGTCGGGGTCGCTCTGGTCGTCCGTGAAGCAGACGTCCACGTCGCTGTCGTCGCTCTTGGCCTCCCCAGGCTCCGGCGGGTAGTCAGTCTCCGGCCTCGGGCCGTCGCCCGGCTTGGCGAGCAGGTTCTGCCCGGGGTGGCGGGACTTGACGTGGCGCTCCAGGTCCCGGCGGCGCACCAGCACCTTGCCGCAGAACTCGCAGCGGTAGGGCGTGTTGCCCTCGGCGTGCAGCCGGATGTGCTTGTTGAGATTGCTGGGGTCGCCGAAGGGCCGCAGGCACACCTTGCACTTGAGCGGCTTGTAGCCCGTGTGGGTCCGCATGTGGATCTTCAGCCCGTACTTACGCGAGTACAACTTGCCGCAGTAGAGACACAGGTGACCCGCCTTGGGCTTGCCCGCGCCCGCGCCGCCAGCCCCCCCTGCGCCCCCAGCCGCCACGACGGCGGACGGCAGCGTCCCCGCGTCCAGGCGGCCGCGGCCCTTGCCGGCGGCCATCTCGGAGAGCTGCTGCGTGTGCATGGCGATCTCTCGGTCGATGCTGGCCAGGGGGCCCAGCTCCGCCGGGCTCAGCGCAGCCGCCGTGGCGGGCCCGCCAAAGTAGGAAATGGACTCGGGGTACTTGAGCAGCCCGCCGAAGTGCAGTTTGAGCGGGTAATAAGCGGCGGCGGCCGGTGAGCCGTAGAGCAGCTCCCCGTTGTAGACGGTGAAGGCCGGCATGACGGCGGGCAGGTGGCTGCACTCGCCGCCCGGGTAGGCTTTGAGCCCGCCGGCATCGAGGGTCGGCAGAGCGCAGCGCTCCAGGGGCAGCGCGCCGGCGGGGGGCTGCTGAGCGTAACGCGCTCCCGGCAGCGCGGCGCCGGCGGAGGTTGGGGCGCGCTCCACGTGCGTGAAGGCAGACCCCTCCTCCGCGGGGCCCGGGAGCAGCGGGAAGCCGCGCAGGGCCCTGGAGCAAGGCAGGCCAGGCGGCGGCGGCGGGTCCCCCGCGAGCAGGCACTTGGGGTGGTGGTGGTGATGGTGGTGGTGCGCGTGGTGGTGATGGTGATGGCCGGCGCCGCCCACGGCCGAGCTGTCCCCGCTCCCGGGGCTCCCGCCGGCCCGGCTCCCGACCAGCAGCCTGCCTAAGGCCAGGCCGGCCCCGGGTTTGCCACCACCCGCCTCCCGGTAGGGGTCGCCAAGCGAGGCCGCGGCCGCCCTGGCCAAGCCCGCGGGCTTGAAAGCCGAGCGCACGCCAGGATAGAAGGCCAGGCCGCCGCCTCCCGCTGGGGAGCCGCCCACGATGCCGAGGAAGTGGCCGTGCCCCCGGGCCGCCCCACTCATGTCTAGGGCGCGATGCGGCTGCTCCTTGCCCTTCTTGGACAGCCCCCACTTGCCCGGGGGCGACGAAGTGGCCGAGGGCGCAGAGGAAACCTCGCGCTTGATGCTCTCCCGCGCTCCGCAGGCCTGGAGGGGCGGCAGTGCCTGCGGATGGGTCCGCAGAGTGGCCGCGGGAGCGGCCGCGGTGAAGTCGGGGGCCGAGGGTTTCGGGGAGAGGTGAAGGCCATCCGCGGCCGGGGCAACTCCTGGGCGAGCCGCGTGCTCCTGGTGCAGGAAGGCGCGGCCCCCGCCGCTGCTGAGCACGCAGTGGAAACGTAGGTGAGCCTTAAGGCTGTTGGGGTATCTAAATGTCCTCCAGCAGTACCAGCAAATGTAGCGCTCCTCCCCTGGGCAAGAAAGAGTGGAAAAGCGACCCCGTGAGAGGAGAAAGAAAATGAGAAAAAGAGAAAGCGCCAACGCACCCAAGGCAAAGTCCAGGTTTTGGCCATCGGTTTGGGGAGAAGGTCGAGTATTCTTGGCTCCCAGCGGGGAAAAAAGTGAGGCTGGTATACCCCCGGTAGTAAGGACACCCACCCCACCCCACCCCACCCCCTCTCCCCGCAAGCTCCCAAATGGCCAACTTTGTTACCATCTCCATCCTCCGGGATTGCGCAAAGACCCAGAGGAGTGATCTGAGCCTTTCCAAGGAAGATTTTCTACAGGCCTTCGAGCAAATCTTCGTTGGGAGGGCAAGACTCAGGCACGCTGGCCAGGGAAGAGATGAGAGCAGAGAGCAGCTGTTGCTTTAAATCAAGTGTTGAGACTGCTGTGCCCGGGCCCATCTGTTGGCGTTTGCAGAATAGGTGGCGTATGTCAAGGAGTTTGGGAAAACTGAACAAAGGCCAATCTAATGGTCGTGAGCGCCTCATTACCAGGCGAGACAAACAATATCCTGTATGTATGGGCCATATGTAATCATTCCTTTTCATAGAACAATGTCTTTTATGTTACACTACCCACCCTTTCCACCCCCTCCCAGACTTAAACACTTTGCCTAAGGTTCTCCTGGAGCGTGACCAACCAAAGGGCCACATAGGGACTATGATTTGCTATTCTTCAAAATTATTTGTATCTTTATTTCCTTTTTAACCCCATTTAATTTGATGGGAGAAAAGAAAAGAATCGTGTCCTGATGTCTAAAAACTGAAAAATTGATAAGATGTTATCTTATGTTCTTGTAAGTTGTTCCACCTGGTAATTCATTAACTCTTAGCTGCACAAGTCCAAGCTTAGTAAAATCCTTGGAAAAGAATATAGCTTATTTTATTACATGAATATATACAGTTCTATATAGTCGATAAATAGATATGGATACTTAACTTTTCATAAGGGCACAGGAACTATATACATACTCGGTTTTGTGGGGGTTGGTGTCCATTTTTGTGTGTTTATGATTAATATTAGTTGTTTATAATTTTGCTAGGGTCTGTGAACACAATCAAGAAACATTGTGAAACAAATTCTGATCACGTGGTGGAAGTTAATTTTCACTCAAAAAGGTCATGTTACATCTTACAGAGAACAACAATCTTGGAGTTTGGTTTCTTTTTAAATATTGTGGATGATAATACTGAAGGGAAAGATGACCTTCAGAAAGAAGTTAGTTGCAAGGAAGTATCCAAAGTATATGTAAATCTCATTTAATGAGATTTAATGTAATGGAAAAGTTAAATTTTCCCTACTTGCATATAAGCAGCTTAAACTTCTAAAACATCACTACAGAAATAACAATGGAAAATTTTTTCAAAATCTTCCTCCTTTCATTACTTTACTTCTGGCCTTGCATGAAGCAAGTTGTCACCCCAGGTAAGTAAGGTAGAAGTTTGAGTAAGGAGCAGTTTATTTAGCTGAAACCAAGGGAGAGCAGCTAGAAAAGGAAGGGGGAGAGAGCCCTGAGATTGATCCTATCCTAGTTGTTTATAAAAGACTTAAAGTTTTTTTGATATTTCTGTTACCTTATATTGATCATCCGTGTAAAATAAATCTTGAAAAAAGAGAGATGAGACATGCTGGGTTCTCTTGGTACATGTTGATTTAATACCTTAGGTAATCCTCCTTCTCCTAAATTCAGAACCTCTCTGTCATCACCACTTTTTAAAGAGGGAGTTTTCACAGCCTGCCCCAGAATGACTCAGCTCAATGTAAAGCCAAGTAAGCTTTGTTCCTAAAACAAAAGTAATGTTTTTCTTAATCTTACTTGGAATTGAATGCCACTAGAGTTAGTCAAAATTGGAAGAAGCACAACCATTCCTACTTATTTCTTCCTCTTTTTGAAATTTAAGCAAATTTATGTTTTCTGTATCAATACAATCTCTTTTTAGTTTATCCGAATCAACTGACATGTTCTTCAGAATCTAAAATTCAACATATGCCAAAAGTATCAAACATACTTCATAAGTGACTTTGCCCCCTCTCCATGTAACCCTAATATTGTCAAGATTTCAAGTATCTTTTAACTGGGGCCATTAAGATTCAAATATTCCCTAGAAGGAAAATGGTGTCTAGCTTGACATTGATTACCATATTATAAGTTCAATTGGCTGAAATAAAAACTTAAGATTGGTCACTCCAGTTGCTACTGTACTAAATTTGAGAGTGCCTAAGGGAGGTGGTTCTGTGCAGAAATGACTGGCCCCTAAAGGCTAGTAGCCTTCAGAGTTGTTCTGTAGTGGCAGATTTGAGAGTGCTCTGCTCTGGGGCTGTTGTTATGTTCCCCTTTTACTGGAAGAAGTTGACAAGAGAATATAATGGGATGCAAGTAACAAACTACCTTAGGATAATTTTTATGACTACAAATCTACATATACACAAAAATCAATAGAATTAATTTACAAAAGACAGTGATATATTGAAGTGATTCACTGTTCTGAATAAACTTCATTCTCTCTTAATCATGAAGTGTTTCTTAATTCCCTACATTTGTGTTAATTTCTGTAACCCTATTTCTAAGGGGATGAGATTAAGCAGGTAATTCAGGAGAGCATATTAAAATGTCTTGCAGCATTCATTATGTTAACTTTAAACAACTATAGTTTCAGAAGAAATTACAATTTAGCAATGAAAAAATAGTTATACTAGCTTTGTGTATTAAAAGGAAATTTCAAGATCTTCACTATTTTAGCATCTCCCAGTCTTCTATCCACAAGAAGTATTCTTTAGTGTTCTAAAGAAGGTTAGAAAATGTTTTTCTCTTTAGTTACTGCACTTTAATTTGCATAAGTCCGCTCTTGGCTTTGGAAGGGATCAAATAAATCTGAGAAGAAACTGGGATACATCCCAGATTCAATTTAAGTAGGGAGAGGGAAGTGAATAAATACTATTTAAATGGAAGGGCTTCAATACCTGACAACCGACCAGCTGTAAGTACCGTAATGTTTCTAAAATGCTGTAGAAAATCATTGCTTTCCTTCAAACCAATGGAAAAGAGATGCCCTCCCACCTTCTGAAAGCATTCCAGGTTTGAGTTATGCTTTTCCAAGTTCATAATATAAGTATTTTGATATGTGAAGCCTTTTTTGTTCATTCTTAATTAATTGTCTTAATTAATTGTCTGTGGGTATGCAATAGCAAAGAATGACCCCGTGAAGTTTATAAAGAGTAGTTTTTACTCTATCATAGAAAGCCAGATTATTAGCATGGCTGTTTATCATTTACTGTTGATTTTAAGGAGGTAATATGAAGTTTCTCTGCCTGCACAATCAGGAAACTTGAATTCAGTTTTCCACAAGCGAAAGGCCCTTCGAATCTAGGGAGCCCCCGCCCAAACCAAGGAGGGCTGTGTTCTTGTCCACCCCCGCTGACCTTGAGGCCCTCTCGGAGGCAGTACCTTTCTCGTCATGCGTCGGAGTTGCAATTGTGGGGATGTCGAACCACTGAGCCAAAGAATTGGAGTACCAAACGGTTAGCTCCTCCCCTGGCTGGACATCTCTCAGCGCTTGGTAGAAGATCTGGGATGCAAGAAACATGATAGCCTGCTGTCACTTCCTGGGTAATTGGTCAAAAGACAACTGGGAGGAAATGTTCAAATCCCCACTGTGATCCGGTGTCACTCTGGAAAAGCTATTGGACCACTTTGAACCTCATGTCTTCAAATGAGGAAAATGAGGTTGTTTGGGACATTTAATTGAGACCACTAGCTAGAGCTCTTTTCTCTTACAATTGATGGCCACCTCAGAGACAGGGAAGTAGATAAGAGTTGGCAGTCAGGAGGCGGAGAGCACAGTACCTGTCCTCCGGGTAAGTCTGCAATAGCTTCCAGAGTCTGTTCCTGGGGGTTCCTGGCTGCTCGGATTAACCCTATCCACTCCAGAGGGGAGCCCCCCGACTCGTCCACCAGCTCCCCTCTCACCATGCGCACCTGCAACACAAGTAGTAGTGGTTCTCCCCCGCCAACCCAGAGGGAAAGTTTATCCTCCACCCCACCCAACTAGGGACAATGGTTTGTGTTCGCTTTGGTCAGACTGCTATAGCTTGCTGTGGGGGAGCATAATGCCTTAGAACCTTTGTTTGGGGAAAGAAGAAAGAAAGGAGCCCTCCCAAGTCACCCCACCTTGGCAGCACGAGGAGAGCATCATCCTTCCTGAGCACCTGGTCGCATCTTGTACCAGGACTTCCCTGCATCCCACCCAGCTCTGCCTCTTGTCTTTCTGAGAACAGCCCTAAAATCAGGGTAGAAACGTTTAGAAGCCAGTCCTAGAACCCAACATGTGCCTCACCCCCTCCCCTGCCTCCCATTCTTGCTGCACCGCGCAGAGGTGTGGAGATACCCACGAGCCCGACAACGAAAGTGTTTGAACAAAGCGGCCTCTGCCTAGCCGGCCATTTAAAAGCAATTAAAGCGCGTTTAAGAAGAAGGCGTGGTGCGCAGCAAAGCCGGCTTCAGACTGCTGGGGAAGACCATCAGGCGCAGGAGCCAGATGCGGGTCCCTCTGGGCACCGGAGCACTTTCTTACAAGAAAGCGGCAGGCAGCGACGAGCCCAAGCTCAGGTTCTCACCTTACCCCTTCATCCCCAACGACTCCTGCCTCCATTTTTCCCTCTTTTTGCCTGCTGGGACCCCACCCTCCAATTGCGGGGGGGTGGGGATCGGAGGGGCTTTAAAACCCGAATTTCATCAATATCGCGACCCTGTGCAGGGAGGCATCTCTGGAGGGTCGGCTCTGACGCCTCCGGGCAGGGAACCTGGACTCTCAGAGCCCGGCCGCTGGTACTGTGACCCCGTGCTTTACGCGCACGGGCGTTCCTTGCCCTCGGAACCCACCTCAGAGCCACCCCGGGGTTCACTCTTTCTCCATTCACCCCAAACCCACAGGCAGACGTCCGCGGAAATACATTATGGGGAGGCGGTAAGAACTGAGAATTTCCCAAGGATTATTTTTTCGGAAGAGAGGAGATGATTTTGTGAGAAACCCAAGCTTCAATTTAGCATTTTGAGGTTTTGAGGGTAATAAAGTGAGAAAAGTCCTCCACGCTCGGTGCCCCTAAGGAAAAGACGCCCAGAGGTGGGGAGAGGGAGGGGGGAGCCTCGGCGACCCAGACCCCAGAGAGCAGGCAAGCTGCGGGTTCGCAGCGGTCCCAGCATGGAAAGAATCTGGTGCACATCACCAGTGGGCCGTCCCTCTTGGCCACGTCCTCTCCCCCTCAGCCCGGCCCGCGTCCAACTCTCAGTACGACTTTTGGAGAGTAAGCTGAGTCCCCTTCTACCTGGCAGAATTGGCAGGTAACGACTCGTCCACCCCTTTCCTCTACTGGTCCTCTACCCGGTTCCTGGGTCAGGGAAAAGGGAGGCGAATAGCAGGGGTCGGAGGTCGGAGTGGCTAATACCTTTTTCTTGGGCCCGGGTTCCCTGCGGTCTGACAGGTACTTGCCCAGCTTGAAGGTTCCTGGCACGGGCCCGAGGCGCAGGCCGGCTGGGATGCAGCAATCGGCACTCACGCTGGTGGCCGGAGCGCGGGCGGCTCCGTGCATTGCTGCCGCCGCCACCAGGCAGGCGCGCGAGCGCGCGGGGTCCTCGGCAGGGCGCGAGTGACAGAGTCCGAGGCGCGCTCTAGCCAGGGAGCCGCGCCCCGACGTGCGTCCTCCGCCCGCGGAGTGACACGGCCGGGCATGCACTGCGCCTTTTCAATCCGGGCGGGCGCCTTTTGGCACCGCGAACGCAAGGGCGCCGAGTTTGGTGAGAGAGTTGCGCTGCGGAGCAGCTGCAGAGTCCCACCCGAGAGGGTCACATGGAGTGGTTCCCTCAGCCCCCTGCATAATCGAGGCCTCTGAATGGCTGGCGCACAATGGTCCAGGCGACCTTCCCATTCCTAAAAATCCAATTTGTCAAGGGCGAAGAAAAGGCTCTGGTGAATCAAAGGTCCGGCGGGACCATTAATCCTCAGCATGGGGTATTGTCCTCGAGACAGTTACGATATTTTAAGTGACAAATCCACTGTATAATTTCTCCATAAATTTTACTTCCTTTTATTGTTCGCCGACAAACCAGTTTTGGGAAATAAGTGACTACTTTAAGTCTACTTGGCTGATTCCTTTGAGCCTTGGTCTACTTCAAAGATTTTTAATTCTCTCCCCTTGGCTTTATTGTAAGGAGATTAAACAAAGAGATGGGGACTGTTTGGAGGACTTGTTAACTTCTATTGATTTCTGGCGTGTGCCATACAGAAATTAGGCAGGTACTTGATGGGAAAACACCAGAAAATACCTACACTTTTTAAATAACGACCATATTACCATTTCAGGGGATTGGGCTCCGGCCAGTCGTCTATTTAGAACCGCTTTATCGTTCCTTCTGTCCACTCTCGCCCCGATATAGGAAGCGTCGAGGCCGTTTTGGGGAGGCGAGGTCAGCTGTGCAATAGTGCTCTCTGGCCCTCACTTTCTCTGGAGAAAGGGAAGCAGCCGCAGGGTGGCGACTTTGCTGGGGATCCCGAGCCCCGGCTATGGCACCCAAGGTTACCGAGGGGTTCTGCCATTTGGGTTTTTAATCCAGTCTCTTCCACATGTTAACCCGTCGACTCAAATCCTGATTTGCTTTTAAGTTTAAAACAGAAATCCTTTGGGGGGGGGGGCAACTTCCCCACAAATAACAAAGTGGGCTTTTCTTTTTAAAAGTCTTTTTTAAGGTCGTAAAAAAGAGGGAGAAGTGGCTGGCAACCCCTGCCTTTAGCTAGTTCTTGAACTAGGACAACAGGGTTTTCGGAATGAAAACCACAGTGCTCCTCATTTATTTTCGTGAGATAAGCAAGACACCGAGTTCATTAGATATTTGTGCAGCTCTTCCAGCACTGGCCATGAGCTGCTCATCTCAGGCTTCGCTTCCCAAGTCCAATGGACCAGGATTTGATCCCGACATGGTTTTCCGGAAGAGGGCTGCATGGTTGTGGGCTGCCCGCCAGGTGTCAGATGCTAAAGCATGGTACATATGGGTGCAGGACTTCCAGCGTCCGCCCTGAGGAATGCGCCATCAGGTTCTGCTAGCGACAGGTGCGGTTCTTAGAAAACCGCAGGCGTGGATTCTGATTAACAAGAATGGCTGGATGCAAGGTCGCCACACCTGTTATTCCGCACCTTGGAGGGCTGGGCCCTCGAAGATGCTTCTTGTGGTACCCCTCAGTGGAGACATGGTACCCCTCAGTGGAGACATGCCTTAGCCATCCTGGACAATGATGAAGAGACTCAATTCATTAGTCTGTGCTTCTCCTCAAGGCTGGGGGAGTGGGGGGCGGGGCGGGAATCAGGGAATTACTTCAGCACCTCAGTCTCCTAATCCGTGAAAAGGGAACGATGATGCAAACAGATCCTTGGTTTCCACTCCGGGGCTCGTTTGAGTTTGCTGAGACGGTCAGTAGCAATGACCTGTGGGGAGAACACATTCAGGGAACTCCAAAACTCGTGTTTTGTCTAATGGGGGAATCCAGACCAGGTCAAAGGTCTCTAATTAAAGCATCTCAAATCAGGTGCAAGAACACGAGAATGGTCAGCCTCAGTTGCTAACCCAAGACCATAGATGTGGCTGCCGGGGCAGTTAGCAGGCGCTGGAAGGGTCTGGGCAACCACAGCGGGGACCCCTCTGACAGTGCAGTGACGCCAAACCCGGGACCATTTTGTGAAGGAGCGGCCACTTGTTTTTCCTCTTAACCCTTCAAACGCTCCTCTGAGGATCTGGAAGATTGCCTGAGACAGAGGAGGGAGGCTTTGATCAAGCGGCCCCTGAATGGCAAAAGCGGGAGGGGGGAGGGGGAGGGGAGGAGGAGAGGAAGCCGCTCCGAAGAGTAGAGGGCAATAAATTTAAGCCATGAACATGTCCCTCTAACCTCTGGCCTGGCGACTTCGGGATGACACCCAGTTTAAATTACCAGCACTGCGAGCGAGAAGGGGCGAACTCGGGGCCCGGGTTCGGGGCTCCTCCCCAGCCCTCCTTAATGAGTGAAAAAGCGTGAACGACACGCGAACAATTTTATCAATAGGACCATGTAAAGGCCGACTGTGAGGAAAGTTATTTATTAATATAGCCAATTGTGGCTGGTTCCCAGCCCCGCGAGAAGAAAGAGACTGCGCCAGAGGCATTCACACCAGCTCGCCCAGTTTTATTCTGTCCTGTGGCTCAGAGTTGAAGTTCCCCAAGTGAAATAAATTGTCCACAAAGGAGGAAAGGAACACATTTTCTTTTATTTTTCCTCCCCTAAAAAGCAAGGGTGAAACCAATCTAATGTGCCCAGTGGAGCAAGATGGGCCGTGAAAGGCTGGGTGTTAAAAGTAAAAGCGGGCTGTGCAGCAAATGGGATGGAAAATTAAATGAAATTAAATAGCTTGAACGGCCGTATTGTCCCTTATTAAAAAGACACATTAATTACATGGTCTCAGCCTTATTCAAAGACAATGTTGAGACTCAATCAAAACATTCCACTCGGCTTTTTTTATGAACTTAAAATGGGCGTCCAGCGGCCCTGTTGAAGCGAAATCCCTTCTGCACCGAGGTGCGTGGCGAGACGGCTTTGGGGGCGGCCCTGCTGGTTGCCCACCCCGGAACAGTGCGCGCACGACTCTGTGTCCTGTACCAGGTTGCCCCTAATGAAGCTGGGATGCTGGAGACCAGGGGCCAGGCAGAGGCACAGGCTGCCGGGCGTGAAGTCCCACCCTGTGCTGCTTTCAAACCCGGCTGTGTTGGGGGGGCGCCCCGTCCCACCCGCGCCCCCCACCTGCGCCCGCGCGGGGATGCGCCCGCGCGCGGGACGGCAGTGTGGCTGGCGTCGAGCGCGCGTGACCTGGCTGCGCTCCGCCTAGAGGAAAAGAGCCCCCTCCGGATTTCCGGGCTGCTGTCAGCGAGCCTTTCGCCACCCCATTCTCGAGAGCTGCGGGGCTCCAGCGCGCATAGTCCCGGGACTTCGGCTGCGTTGACTGCCGCCCTCCTTGGACTCTGGCCTCCAGCTCCGGCCGGAGCGCAGGGTCCCCAACGCAGGGATGGAAAGAGCGGCGCCGGCTCAGTGACCGCGCGAGGGAGCAGAGCCGGGAGACTACGGAGTCTGGGTCGGAGGTGGCTTAGGCCGCGCCCCCCAAGGGTGTCCTCATCGGCCGGGTGGGCGGGTCAGCGCGGACCAGCTGCGCGGCCCCCGAGGCGCGGGTGGGACATTAAGGTCGGGTCTGAATGGGGCGGCGGCGACGGGCTCTGGGAACGCCACCAGATGACACGCCGGCGACGGGGCCATTTTCCCCTTAATTGAGAGGCCGGTGGGTGCGCAGCGGCCGGGAGGCTCCAAGCGCGCGGCCAGGACACAGCCCGGACGCCACTGGTGGGTTTTGTAGTGCCTTTTTTGTTGTTTTTTAAGTCCTCCGTTGGAAGCGGCTCAATAAAGTATTCACAGTCCCTCTCAAGTTGCCTTTTAACCGGAGTTCCCCCAACTTATTTCTTGGCTCTTTCGGTTGACATGGTGCAAAGAAAAGTCAGCGAGCGTGTTGCTGAATTGCAATGTCTCGGGGCACCTCCACATTCAACGCTCCTCTGCCGGCCGCTGCCGAATGAGCCCGCGCTCAATTCGATTTTCCTTGCTGTTGGGCACATTTAGGAGCGCCTCTATTTGTGAAGTTCATTTCTAGGCAAATGTATTCAAGAGCTGATGGGAATGAATAGGACCGTGTGTCAGCCGCCCCTAATTGGGATTAAAGCACTTAGGAGCATATGCAGAGAGTGACAGAAATTCTCAGGTTGCATTGTATTCAGACTTCCACCCGCTTGGATACTCCTCCTCCAAGGGAGATTTATAAAGCTTGCAGGGAGAAACTGAGGAAAGAAAAGCGAAACGGAAAAGAACCGGGCTAATGGCTCACGGTGGGGCTGCGGTTCAGCAAGTGGTGGTGACAGCTTATGAGAAAAGATGCTGGGGGATAATTGAAGGCGGGCGGGGGAGCGGGTCTGAACTCTTTAATCAGAAAGGCGGAGAGTTAAAAGGCGAAATAAAGATGTTCTTGAGATTCCCAGACTTTTTTTTCCTTTCCTTTTTTTTTTTTCTTTCCCTTGAAGAACTTGGCTTTCTTTATCGTTGCCTCCCACCCCACTCCCAAAGAATATGTCCTGTCTTGAGACAATAATAAGAACAATTTGGTATTTGAATTAGGAAAAAAAGTCAAAAGAAACAGAAGTATCTTCTTTTGTATGTTAAAGAGAACTTCACACCCAAATAGGTCAGAGCAAGTATTTCCTGATGTGCATGTGTAAAATATACACACACTATCTTAAAACACAAACATAAGTACTCATATACATTCAGATTGTGTATGTAGACACTAGTCTAGTAAATCTCCACCCTAAGTGGTTGCAAGGTTTCAGAGCTCAAGGTGGGAATGTCTTTTAAAAGCTGAAAATCATCCTAGAACTAAGGCTGGGGCAGTCTTCTAAGCAGAGAGTAGTTACAGCTTCTTTTAGACAGTGAGAGGCAGAGAAGCCAGAAATGACACATGAATATTGAACAAAA